TAGATTTTATTATTCTGGATCAGTGTGTGTTGGTATCCTACATGTCTTGTAGCTGAACTACCCTGCGTTTGCCCACGTTCTCCTCTTAGGTGCTGTCAGGACCAGTTTGAGGACATGATATTCAGGCCCATCTTAGTATCTGACCTGATGAGTTGCTATTTTTGTTTTGGAATATACTGGAACTTCCAGGGCGTGTTGCACTCCAGCATTTGAAGAGGAGCCTGTCAGAAGGAGGTGTTGGGGAGCCTGGAGTAGGGAAATGTTTCCACTGTGGGATAGGAGGGGGAGGAGGCCGATGGGAAAGCTGTGCATAATATATATGAATTGCCCTTTCTTACCCTCTTTTTCAGGTAGGTGATGTGTGTCGGGTGCAGTTGCTGCATCTCTGTCAACCCTCTGAACACCAGTGTGCTCTGAAAAGCATATATTAAACATAACTGCCTAGCAGTTCGTTTTTTCCCTTTGCGTTTTGCAGATAAAACCTGAGGAGACCCCAGGTTGCCAATGTTTACATTGTAACCAATAAAAAATAAATATCAATTTCTGAATTTTTGGCTTGTATAACAGTATCAAAATAATTTGCAAAACCTCTCCAGCCAAGCCTGTCTCATTTAAGCTGTCTTAGCAGAGTCTCTGCAGTGATATAGTAGCAGGTCACCTTTATCTCTAAAACTACAAACCACCTGTCCAATGAAAGCAATTACCTTCTCTGTGTGACATAAAGGCCTTTATTCCTCCTTACTGGCACAGATAAAAGGAGGGACTCCATATTTTTACTTGAAGTGCATTGATTTGGACACTGGATCTTAAATCCATAGATTTTGGAAGATCTTCCTGTATCAAAGGGCTGTTTGGCAGCAAGTCAAAGCTATGGTGGAATACTGTGACAGCCAGGGAGGGTATTTATACTGTATCTTGTGGTACCTGTTTTGAAAGCCTCTCAAATTCCATTTGCAAGTGAGAAGATTAATTAATAGACATCCTAAAGTACTGCTGTGTTGCTTTCTGAATCCTGTAATTCTGAAGCAGACTGTTGTGAGGCACACGTTTGTATTGGCCTATCTTCGTGATGGTCTGTGACTTTATCATAATTTAGTCTGGCATTAAACGCACACCACTCACTGGTTCTCATATTCAGTAAGACTTGTGTTGAATTGGAGGCGATCCTGATTTTTAAAGTTCTGTGTTCTCTGATATCCTAAGGCTAAACCACTCGGATTCTTTAATAAACACAAATTTCAGGAGCTTAATCTAGTCAGGTGATCAGATGTTTTTCCGGGAGTTCATCGTCTTGGTTTTCTCCTGCAACTGGTTTGTTTTGGTTCTGTGCTTAATGCTGGCACAGTACCAGCGGCAGGAAGACCTTGTTTTCTAGTGCAGTATGTGCAGGTATGGACTGGCTGAAGTCCTCTGTCCACCGGTATCGTACCGCTGTGCCCAAGTTCTCCCATATTTTAATCTTGAGTAATGTTTTGTTAGGGAAAAAAGTATGGTCTTGCTGTTTGTCTAATTGACCAAAAGCTGTAGTTTGCTTTGAGAGACACTTTTTTGCCACGTGGTGTGGGGAGTGTTTTTTCCTCAGACTTTAAATTTATGCAATTATTCTTTTTATTTCAACTTTTTTGGTTTGAGAGTTAATCCAGATGCGAACTGGAAGTCATCCCCCTTGTTTGGGGATGACTATTAATTAAAAGTTGGTTAAGAATGTAACCAGTTTTACTCAGAATATGTCCTATATTCCTTTTCCTTGCCAGCAGTCTGTATTTCAGATGTTACCTCCGTTACTTTAATTAGCAGACCTGTAATACACTTCACCATAAACATTGGTAGTGCCAGTGTTCTGGCTTACACAGCCTCATCAGCACTGTTCAGAATCCAAACATGTACCAGTTGGGGTGTAGAGAACATGGGCGATGAAAAGCTGGCCATGAGCCGGCCGTGTGCGCTGGCAGCCCAGAAAGCCAACCGGATCCTGGGCTGGATCCAGAGCAGCATGGCCAGGGGGATGAGGGAGGGGATTCTGCCCCTCTGCTGTGCTCTGGGGAGACCCCCC